ATCCTTGGCAGCCACGCGGAATGGCCCGCACAGGTCGATGTGCACGACGGCCAGCACATCGTCGGCGTCGGAGCCTTGGTCGGGGAAGGTGTGCCGCGCCAGCTTCCCGCCGACGCACGAGACACACGGGGAGTCGGCGCCCGTCGCCGAATTGGGGTCCAGCCCAATGGCGACCTCGTTCTTCGCCGAGCTCCGTATGGTGTCCATGCCGACATGTGCAAGCCGGGCATGCATACGGTCCGGCGTCGACTTCGTCTTCGAGACGATCGCCCGCAGAGCCACAACCTCCGTCGTGGGCGACGTCGACCTCGTTGAGCAGGGACGCAGGTCGGTGCAGAGGACACGCCCGGAGTACGTCGCCCGACCGAGCACCTCTCCCGTTGCCGAGACGAGCACCATCCCGTCGCCGTCCTCTTGCAGCTTCACGCCGTGCTCCTTAAGCTGGCCGGACGACAGCAAGTTCGCCCGCACACCCGGGACGTACAACACGTCGGGGATGAGCACCTGCTTCCCGGCCTCCCCTTGCAGGGCGACGGTGCCGCTGCCCTGAACGTCCTGCAGCGCCCCATTGAAGCCGCGCACGTGCTTGATGGAGCCACTCGGCTGCAGGTCAACGAAGGCTTCCTTCGTTCCCATCAGGTGGTGGGAGCAACCGCTGTCGAGCACGACCACCGCCGGGTTCGCCTGCACAGCCGCCGCCACCGCCTGGAAGTCCTCTCCGGCCTCCGGCGCCAGAGAGATGGTCGGCTCCACGACGCCGACCAGCGAGCACGGCGCCATTTTGTCGTCTCGCCCCTTGCCGCCTGCAACGGAGTCGGCGTCCTTCGCCGAAGTCGATGCCTTGGTCGACTGTTTCTCCTGGCGCGGATGATTTCCTCCACGACGAGGACGACGGCTGCCAGACCTCCCGCGGCCGCCCTTGTCGTCGTCGTCGGAGTCACTGCGGTCGGGACAATCGAAGGAGAGGTGATCGGGGCTGTGGCAGATCCAGCACTCCCGACGTCGACCTCCTCCTCCTCGACCGCCGTCCTTGGTCGACTTCTTCTCGACCTCCTTGGTCGACTTCCAGCTACCGCTCCCGCCGCCACCAGACTGTCCGCGCTGTCCTGGTCGGCCTCCTTGTTTCGCAGGGGCGACGAAGTTGGCCTGCGCCAAGAGCCTCTGCGATCGCTCAGCCTCCTGCATCGCCTCGTCCTGCAGGATGTATGAGGTCAGGTTGTCCTCGTTGAGCATCGCCCTTGTGCTCGGCGCCATAGACAGCCGCTTCAGCAGGTTGTAGCTGCTAGAGAGACCCTGCATGACATGGGTGATGTACGACGCCGTGGAGTACTGCGCGCCGGCCATCCTGATGGTGGCGAGAATTCGCCTGGCTCGGTTGCAGTAGTCGGTCGCACTCTCCTCGTCGCCCATACGCAGGTGTGTCAGCTGTCCCTCCAGCTGGGCGATGAACAGGTCGTCGGTGACCTGGTACGTCGACTCAATGAAGTGCCACGCCCGGTGGCCAGCGTCGAGGTACTCCCGGCACCACTTCAAGGCGATCTGCACGCCCGGCGAGCAGCACCGCGAGATGACCGTGAAGGTCAACAGCTGCACGGCGCGAAACTCCGCACGCAGGTCGGGGTGGTGCTCACTCGGCGTCGCCACGGTCCCTCGGGCGAAGCCGATCAGCCCGGCCATCTCCAGCTGGGGCTCGATGGCTTCCTTCCAGGTGAGAATGTCGGGTCGACCGACCAGTTGAGGGGTGACCGAGATCCTGTCCGGCGTAAACTTGAAGTAGCCGTAGCTCGGTGCAATCCCACCTGCCGTCACCTGGGACGCCGTCATCGGCGACAGCCCACTTCGACGCCCACCGCCGTCACCATGTGAGGAGCCTGCAGCCACCGACGACTGCATCCCTCTCGCCTGAACGCCGCCGGCTTCACCGGCGTGTATCACACCTCGTTGCCTCGACGTGCCTCGCACACTGCTGCCGACCTGACCTCCACCGGCGTTGACGCCCACATCGACGCCGCCGTCGTTGTTCACCGGTCGAGGAGAGGCAGGTCGAGAAGGGGGATGCTCCGCCGCCCACACGGAGCGGATTCCGGCCTCGACGACTGCCCAGGGTATCGCCCCATACTCCTGGGCCTCATGGCGTCTCCTCGCATCCTCCAGCCGTCCCTCCAGGGTGTCCATCACCTCGGCGTCGCCTACGCGCACGCTAGTGACTTCACGGCTGCCGGTCTACGAACACGATCGGTATGTGCTAAGTCGGCTAGACTGAACTACGTCGCGTGTTCGTTCCACGCTCACCGCACCATGAGAAGATAACTACTACAACGGGAGCTTAGAGTACTGGCTAGGCACGTGTGCTCGTGTGATGTCTGCGTTCTTTGGTCCTTAGACGTTTTCCTAGTGCTCACACTGGTTGCTAGTTCATGGGGCAATTTGGCAAGAGTTTCACTAGAGAAAGTTGTCAATAATGGTCCAATGAAGCTGGCAATGCAAGACTACATCAGAGCTAGCATTCAGGTTGGTCGACTGCCAGCACAGCATGGTCGACCGCGTTCCAGCACGACTTGGTCGACCACGCTACAGCAGTGCAAAGTCGACAGCTTGCCAACGCTGCAGGTTGACGGTGTGCCAGCATTGCTCACGCAGGACAGCAGTGCACCCGCTTTGCAGGTGCGCGCAGATGATTGGCATGCAAAGTCTCGTCACATGCACAGCGCACACACCACGTCAACCTCGAGCTAGCGACTGCCTCTGATCCGCCACGACGACCTCGGGATACCACCATGGAGGTCGGTCTCGCCAACTTCGCCTGGGTGACCGTCGCACTCCTTCGCAGAAACTCGTCACCCAGGTATCCTGGTCGACCGGGCAACTATGTCGACCAGCTGCTCCTGTATGTGCTCGTCGACCTCCCAAGTCGACAACCACACCAGGTCGACCTCACCAGGTCGACCACTCCTCCGGTCGACCAGATCCAGGTCGACGTCACTCCTGGTCGACCAGTGCAGTTGTCAGCTACCCAAGTCGGCGTCACCAGGTCGACGCCCCTTCTACGTCGGCGCCGACTTCCAGACTGACCTCTTGAAGTTGGCGACCTCCCAAGTCGGCGACCTTGCAAGTCGGCGCCGACTTGCAAAGTCGGTGACCTTGCAAGTCGGTGACCTTGCAAGTCGGTGACCTTGCAAGTCGGTGACCTTGCAAGTCGGTGACCTTGCAAGTCGGTGACCTTGCAAGTCGGTGACCTTGCAAGTCGGTGACCTTGCAAGTCGGCGCCGACTTCCAGGTCGACGTGCCACATCGCCGACCACCAGTTGAAGTCGGCCGCTGGCTTCCCAAGTCGGCGGTATTGCAGTGGCGCCGTGCCAGTCGACCAACCCCGTCGACCAGCTCGTCCAAGTCAGCGTCGCCCACTGCTGCAAGTCGGCTGTACCTTCCGTACACCCCACCACGAAGTCGGCTCCGCCCAAGCGTGGACGGGGCCAACACACAACTCCCGTTGACACTCTTCCCCCTACTGACACCCTTCCCCTTTGCTCACTCTCTTCCCCCTACTCACTCTCTTCTTCTCTAGAATCTCCCTTCCCCCTTTCTCACTCCCTAACCCCCTACTCACTCACTTTCCCCCTGCTATCGCCCTTCCCCCTTGCTCACTCTCTTCCCCCTACTCCCTCTCTTCTGCCTTGCTCTCTCCCTCCCCCCATGCTCACTCTCTTCCCCCAACTCACTCTCTTCGGCCCGGCTCTCTCCTCCCCCCCTTGCTCACTCTCTTCCCCCCCGCTCGCTCTCTTCTTCTCTGCTCACTCTCTTCCCCCTTTTCCCTCTCTTACCCCCTGCTCACTCTCTCCCCCTGCTCACTCCATTACCCATGCTCTCTGCGTTTCCCCTTCAGCTCTGCTTATTTCCCTTTGCCTCATCTATTTTCTACCCAACCTTCCCTCCTGTTTCCTTCAGCCCCCTGCTTTATATTGAGGTCTTCCCTTTACCGCATCCCTGCAGCCCCCAAGTGGTCTTGCAATATTCCCTCCCCCCTCCCACATTTTGTTTCTATCTTATAAGACTTATAAGACACCCAAAACTCCCCAAATACAAGATAACCCAAGCATTTTTTTTAGTGTACGAGATAAGACATATATGTCTTATATCCGGGCGATGACGGTAATCAGAATTCTGAGTTCCGTAATAGACATCACAAGTAGTTTACAGAGCGAACATTATAACTTAATAATTTATGTTCTAGTTACATGAAGCCCTAATAATAATAGTTCCCTGCTAAAAATACAAATTCCGATGTCTCAACAAAAGCCAGCGAAGCTGCCAAATGAATCTGCGCTGCACTCCTAAAATAGAGATACCAGGAACAAATCTCAACAATGACATCATAGTAAGGAACCTTTCGGTGGTGTCCCAAAAAAGAATGTTAGCCCAAGAGACATTAACCAGAGAACAACAAATTAGTAGTCAAAGAAATCACAGAGTTCAGAAGTTGAAAAAGTGGCAACCTTTGAAAGATCGGCCACTTAACTGTCAGCCATGGTACATGTCTCCGTTTAATGGCGATTAAAAGACGCAGCATGACAAGAAGACACGAGAATATATACTCTGGTAACTCTGACAAGTAGTAATAGCGAATCTGCACACGAGGCTGACCAAGAACGATTATGCGCGCGCACACAGCAAACACACGTGCGCGCGCACACACGCGCGCATGCACGCACCCACACACCCACCCGCCAACACACACGCACGCACGCACGTTCTTGGCTGCCTTGGCCTGTCGCCTCTGCAGCATCTTGCTCTGCTGCACGCGTGTCACATACGCATCCCTCTTGTTCTATATGCACCATACACATGCATGCACAAACACACACACACACGCACACAGCACCTTTCTCTGCTGCACGCGCGACACATATGCGTCCCGCTCCTTCTATACGCACCACACACAGGCACGCACATGCATTCACACGCGCATACACTCACACGCACTCCTTCGCTGCTTTGGCCTGTCATCTCTGCAGCACCTTGCTCCACTGCATATGCGTCACTCTCCTTCTATACGCACCACACACAGGTACGCACATGCATGCACACGCGCACATACTAACACACACCTTCTTGGCCGCCTTGGCTGACCGGCACTGCAGCACCTTGCTGTGCTGCACGCGCGTCACATACGCATCCCTCTCCTTGCCTGCCACCCACATCTCCGCCTCCAGCTTCTGCTCCCTCACTGCCCGGCGGTACGTTGTGAGTCAGGATGAGAGGTGAGAGGGGGGAGGGGAGGGGGGAAGGGGGGATGAGAGGGGAGCAGCCACATAGACCACAATCGCCGCCACCCGCATCTTGCCTCCAGTTTCTGCTCCCTCACTGCGTGCTGGTAGGCAGGGGGGGCATGAGAGGGAAGAGGGACGATGAGAAGGGAGAAGGGAAGGACGAAGGAGGGGATGGGAAGAGCAGCCTGTGACGCGAAGGATTGGCTCCGACTCCAGCTTTTGCTCCCCCACTGCATGGCATGGCGGTTGGCTGTGCGGGGAATGAGTGGGGATGGGAGAGGGGACGGGAGGGGGGAAGGGGGATGGGAAGGGAGAAGGGGAATGAGCGATGGGAGCAGGGGATGTGAAGTGTGAAGCGGGGACGAGAGGCGGACATGGGGATGAGAGGCGGGGAGGGGGGAAAAATAGGGATGGGAGAGGAGAAGAGGGGATAGGAGGCATGATGATGATGAGAAGCAAAAAGCTTAAACTCTTGATCATCTCGGTGAGGGGCAGCAAGCCTCAGTCCTCACCTCGCTCTGCTCCGCATCTCCCTCACCGTGCCTGCCTGCCATTCTGCTGCACCCACTGCTTGGCTCACAAGCTGCCATGCACACATGACATCACGCATCCCCTCCCTCCCCTCTCATCTCATCCACTCATCGACTCACTCACCCATCCCCTCCCTAGCCTCAACCTCTCAGCAGCTCACCCAGGTCGTCCCACTAACAACGCCTATGGTACTTGGTGGTACGCACGTCAGTCAGAACCTCTCTCACAAACCGTGACTTGCATGCTTGCCTGCCATTCGCCCCTGCACTGACCCAACCCTTCCCTCACCTCACCCTCTCTTCCGTCCAGTCCACCCATCGGCTCACCCATCTTCTCGCTCAGGTACTTGATTGTCCACTGGTCGGCACCTCTCTCACAAACCACGTCCTGCATGCCTGCCATTCAGCCCACCATTCACCTCTCAACCATCCCAAAGCCTCTCATATGCCCTTGCACCGCAGTGCACTGCACTGCACTGCACTCACCCATCTTCTCGCTGAGATTGTCCCACTTGAATCTCTTGAGGTACTTGATGGTCCACAGGTCAAACCAGTGGTGCGAGCGATTCTTGCCGCCTGGAAAATGTGAAAGAAAGGGAATACGAGGGGTGTTGAAGGGAAAAAGAAGAGGAAGAAAAACCATAGAGGTTGTGTATGCGGTTCTTGCCGCATGAAACCAGAAAGAACGGCAAAAGATGAGGGGCGGGGGTTTGGGGGGGTTGGTAGATTGGGGGAAAAATATGAAGAGGATGAAACACCACAAGACAAAACAGTGGTGCGAACAATCTTTGCCGCTTGAAAGCAAGAGTTACAGCAGTAGGACTAGGCGGAACACGGGTGGAGAAAGTATGGGAAGGTGGGGAGGGTGAGTGGGAAGGTTAACTAGAAATGGGCATTCTCAAAGACAGAGGCGAAAAGACTAGTGGAGGGCTCAAGACAGAAGTGGGCATTACACAAGGGAGAGAAAGGAACACTACAGATCAAAGCTGTGGTGTGAGCGGTTTAGAATTTCGGGTTTAGGGCAGAACCAGGCCGCATGAGAGAAGGGCAGAAGGGGGGCTTGGGACGGAAGAGAGGGGGGTCAAGAGGGGGAGCCCGGAGGACAGGGCACGCAGGAGGACAGGGCACGAGGGAGGACAGGGCACGAGGGAGGACAGGGCACGAGGGAGGACAGGGCACGAGGGAGGACAGGGCACGAGGGAGGACAGGGCACGAGGGAGGACAGGGCACGAGGGAGGACAGGGCACGAGGGAGGACAGGGCACGAGAGGGAGGACAGGGCACGAGAGGGAGGACAGGGCACGAGAGGGAGGACAGGGCACGAGAGGGAGGACAGGGCAAGAGGGAGGACAGGGCACGAGAGGGAGGACAGGGCACGAGAGGGAGGACAGGGCACGAAGGAGGACAGGGCACGAGGGAGTACAGGGCACGAGGGAGGATAGGGCACGAGGGAGGACAGGGCACGAGGGAGGACAGGGCACGAGAGGGAGGACAGGGCACGAGAAGGAGGACGGGGCACGAGGGAGGACAGGGCACAAGAGGAAGGACAGGGCACGAGAGGGAGGACAGGGCACGAGAGGGAGGACAGGGCACGAGGGAGGACAGGGCACGAGAGGGAGGACAGGGCACGAGGGAGGACAGGGCACGAGGGATGACAGGGCACGAGGGAGGACAGGGCACGAGGGAGGACAGGGCACGAGGGAGGACAGGGCACGAGGGAGGACAGGGCACGAGAGGGAGGACAGGGCACGAGAGGGAGGACAGGGCACGAGGGAGGACAGGGCACGAGAGGGAGGACAGGGCACGAGGGAGGACAGGGCACGAGGGAGGACAGGGCACGAGGGAGGACAGGGCACGAGAGGGAGGACAGGGCACGAGAGGGAGGACAGGGCACGAGGGAGGACAGGGCACGAGAGGGAGGACAGGGCACGAGAGTGAGGACAGGGCACGAGAGGGAGGACAGGGCACGAGGGAGGACAGGGCACGAGAGGGAGGACAGGGCACGAGGGAGGACAGGGCACGAGGGAGGACAGGGCACGAGGGAGGACAGGGCACGAGGGAGGACAGGGCACGAGAGGGAGGACAGGGCACGAGAGGGAGGACAGGGCACGAGGGAGGACAGGGCACGAGAGGGAGGACAGGGCACGAGGGAGGACAGGGCACGAGGGAGGACAGGGCACGAGGGAGGACAGGGCACGAGAGGGAGGACAGGGCACGAGGGAGGACAGGGCACGAGGGAGGACAGGGCACGAGAGGGAGGACAGGGCACGAGAGGGAGGACAGGGCACGAGAGGGAGGAAAGGGCACGAGGGAGGACAGGGCACGAGAGGGAGGACAGGGCACGAGGGAGGACAGGGCACGAGGGAGGACAGGGCACGAGGGAGGACAGGGCACGAGGGAGGACAGGGCACGAGGGAGGACAGGGCACGAGGGAGGACAGGGCACGAGAGGGAGGACAGGGCACGAGAGGGAGGACAGGGCAAGAGAGGGAGGACAGGGCACGAGAGGGAGGACAGGGCACGAGAGGGAGGACAGGGCACGAGAGGGAGGACAGGGCACGAGGGAGGACAGGGCACGAGAGGGAGGACAGGGCACGAGGGAGGACAGGGCACGAGAGGGATGACAGGGCACGAGGGAGGACAGGGCACGAGAGGGAGGACAGGGCATGAGAGGGAGGACAGGGCACGAGAGGTAGGACAGGGCACGAGAGGGAGGACAGGGCAAGAGGGAGGAAAGGGCACGAGAGGGAGGACAGGGCACGAGAGGGAGGACAGGGCACGAAGGAGGACAGGGCACAAGGGAGGACAGGGCACGAGGGAGGATAGGGCACGAGGGAGGACAGGGCACGAGGGAGGAAAGGGCACGAGAGGGAGGACAGGGCACGAGAAGGAGGACGGGGCACGAGGGAGGACAGGGCACAAGAGGGAGGACAGGGCACGAGAGGGAGGACAGGGCACAAGAGGGAGGACAGGGCATGAGGGAGGACAGGGCACGAGAGGGAGGACAGGGCACGAGGGAGGACAGGGCACGAGGGAGGACAGGGCACGAGGGAGGACAGGGCACGAGGGAGGACAGGGCACGAGAGGGAGGACAGGGCACGAGAGGGAGGACAGGGCACGAGGGAGGACAGGGCACGAGAGGGAGGACAGGGCACGAGGGAGGACAGGGCACGAGAGGGAGGACAGGGCATGAGAGGGAGGACAGGGCACGAGAGGGAGGACAGAGCACGAGAGGGAGGAGAGTACAAGAGGGAGGACAGGGTATGAGAGGGAGGACAGGGCACGAGAGGGAGGACAGGGCACGAAGGAGGACAGGGCACGAGGGAGGATAGGGCACGCGGGAGGACAGGGCACGAGGGAGGACAGGGCACGAGAGGGAGGACAGGGCACGAGAAGAAAGACGGGGCACGAGGGAGGACAGGGCACAAGAGGGAGGACAGGGCACGAGAGGGAGGACAGGGCACGAGAGGGAGGACAGGGCACGAGGGAGGACAGGGCACGAGGGAGGACAGGGCACGAGAGGGAAGACAGGCCACGAGAGGGAGGACAGGGCACGAGGGAGGACAGGGCACGAGAGGGAGGACAGGGCACGAGAGGGAGGAAAGGGCACGAGGGAGAACAGGGCACGAGAGGGAGGACAGGGCACGAGGGAGGACAGGGCACGAGGGACGACAGGGCACGAGAGGGAGGACAGGGCACAAGGGAGGACAGGGCACGAGGGAGGACAGGGCACGAGGGAGGACAGGGCACGAGGGAGGACAGGGCACGAGAGGGAGGACAGGGCACGAGGGAGGACAGGGCACGAGGGAGGACAGGGCATGAGGGAGGACAGGGCACGAGAGGGAGGACAGGGCACGAGAGGGAGGACAGGGCACGAGAGGGAGGACAGGGCACGAGGGAGGACAGGGCACGAGAGGGAGGACAGGGCACGAGAGGGAGAAAAGGGCACGAGGGAGGACAAGGAACGAGAGGGAGGATAGGGCACGAGGGAGGACAGGGCACGAGGGAGGACAGGGCACGAGGGAGGACAGGGTACGAGGGAGGACAGGGCACGAGGGAGGACAGGGCACGAGAGGGAGGAAAGGGCACGAGGGGGGACAGGGCACGAGAGGGAGGACAAGGCACGAGGGAGGACAGGGCACGAGGGAGGACAGGGCACGAGGGAGGAGCGGACCCGGTGGTTGGTGGACGAAGGGTGTGGGGAGGAGAGAAGACGACAGAGGGGATTCTTAAAGGGAGCAAGAAGACAAGGATGCTTAGAGGGAAACAAACGGGAGGAGAAAAAAAGAGGTATTAGAGGAACGGAGGAGAAAGCCTGTGACCCAGAAGAGGGGTCTAAGTGAAGAGAGGAGCAGCAGCAAAGAGGGATCTGGTAAAGCAAGAAGAGTGGCGCCTGTGTTGTGAGAGGGGCAGGGCTGAGAGGCATGCACGCACGCAGTTATTCTGACACCAGCGCAGGCAGCTACCTGAAAGCCATCCCCCTGCTGCTGCCGAAGAGCCGTGTTGGTTTGAACGAGTGAGAATCTGCACAAGACACCAGTGTCGCAAGATCAGAACCATCGAACTTTGCGGGTGTTTAGAAGTTGCAACTGTCCATCACATAAACACTCACCCGTCCGATTTATCCAGGTGGAGCTCGTTGATGACGCTCCACACCCCTGTTGGAAGCCACGTTGTGAAGTCGAGGTCTTCCCGCCACTTGTTAATACGGTTTGGATTCATGCCGTATGCCTGCATGTCAATATCCGGGAAGTAGAACTTCCAGCAGACTGCGACCGTGTATGCCCTCTCCCACACCGTTTTGTAAGAGCCGAGGTTCCGCTTCCGGCCGTCGACGGTCTGCTCAGACGTCCACTTCTGCAATGGTCCCTCACCCCGTTGAGAGAACCCGCTTCCCCTGAACGGCAGGCAGACACCCCAAGTCTTACCCTTGTCGTCCACTATGGCGTTTTTCCTGTTGTCGCACTTGTCGATCTTCATCCCTTTCTTTTCCCCTGGGATTATCGGTATCAACTCCTGTATACCAGCTGCACGCCGTCTCTTAGCCGCATGACCCTCTGGCTCCCTGTCCTCCTGTCTAGGCCGCCTCCTTGACACCTCTACGTTCTGTCCGGGAACAATAGCCACGCCCTCTGCTACATTTGCCTCCTCGCTCTCAATCAACAGCAAACTCCCCAGGCCCTCAGCTATTTCCTCCTCGACTCCCTTCCAGGTCCCCTCCCCCTGCATGGTCAAATCCTCCTCTTCCACCTCCCTTGCCAATCGTTCCGTCTCTTCAGCCATCGCCTTTGCCTTTGCCTCCAGTTGCCGCTGCTGTTCCACGTAGGATGCAAGTCTGGCCCTCTTCTCTGCTTGGCACTGCTCCGCCTTCTGCAGGCGCTCCATCTCCTGCTGTTTCGCCCTCTGCCGCCGCTCGGCCTCCTCTGCCTCCTTCTTCTGTGTCTCCTTCTGCAGGCACTCCATCTCCTGCTGTTTCGCCCGCTGCTGCCGCTCGGCCTCCTCTGCCTCCTTCTTCTGCGCCTCCTCCTTCTGCAAGCGGTCCAATTCCTGCTGTTTCGCCCTCTGCTGCCGCTCTACCTCCTCTGCCTCCTTCCTTTGCCTCTCCTCCTTCTGCAGGCGCGCCATCTCCTGCTGTTTCTACCTCTCCTGCCTCTCGGCCTCCTCTGCATCTTTCCGCTGCGCCTCCTTCTGCAGGCGCGCCATCTCCTGTTGTTTTTCCCTCTCCACCCGCTCTGCTTCCTCTGCCTCCTTCCTCTGCGCCTCCTCATTTTGCTAGTGCTCCTTCTCCTGTTGTTTCTCCCTTTCCTCCCGATCGTCCTCCTCAGCCTCTTTCCTTTGCGCATCCTCCTTCTGTCGTCGATCTCCCTCCGTTGCCTTCCTACCCTGCTCCTCCTTTTGCCGCCGCTCTGCGTCCAATCTCAGAACTACTGACAGCCGCTTTTCCACCTCACTTAGCATCCCCTCCTTCCTCCCATTCATCCCCGTCTTCATCTCCTTCACAGCCTCCATCACTTCCTTCATTCCCGCCTCCACCTCCTTCTGCCGTCGCTCTTCCTCCTGATGTTTCTTCTTCCTCCGCTGCTCTGTGGCCCCTACATCCTTCCTCTTCTCCTCCTCCTCCTCCCGCCATTGCTCGTCTAGTTGTTACTTCTTCTGTCTCTCCTCGTCGTCCGCCACTTGTTTCCTCTTCGCGTCCTGCTGTTGTCGCCGCTCCGCGTCCTCTTGCCTCGCCTTCTTCTGCCGCTCGGATTCTTCTCGCAAAACCGCGCTCAACCTCCCCACAATCTGGTTTACCATCCCATCCTTCATCTCCTTCATTTCTGCCTTCATCTCCATCATCGCCTCCTTCATCTCCTTCATTCCCTCTCTCATCTCCTTCTGCCGACGCTCTTCCTCCTGCTGTTGTTCCTTCTTCCGTCTCTCTGCGGTGTCTGTTTCCTTCCTCGTGGCCTTCTGCCTCCGCTCCTTATCCTGCAGTCTATCCCTGTTCCGCCGCTCAGAGTCTTCTCTCAGAACCTCTCTCAACCTCTCTTCCACCCGCTTTAACGTGCCCTCCACCATCCCCCCTCCCGACTGGCGAACCTGCTCACTCACCCTTACGATATTCTCCCGCAAGTTGGAGAGTCTCGTGTCCACCTGCTCGCGAAACCTGGCCGCCGTTTCAGCTTGGCGCCGCCGTTCCTCGTTTCCATGGCGGACTTCTTCCAGGTTGGCCAGGGCGTCGCGGCAGTAATGGACGGTCAGATCGGCCACGTCGCAACTGATGCTGCTGTTGCGGGCCGCCAAGTTGCAGAACGTCAGACGACGCGTTACCTCTGCCGGGCTTATGTCCCAGCTTTCGGCCTCAACGAACCTGTCACCTTGTTTGACCAGGACTGTACTCGTGCGCTGCAGCATCCGCCGTATTGCCGTCTCTGCCTCGACCCACTCTACCTGCCAAAACGCTTCTGCCACCCCGCCTTGGCCGAGATTCCTCTCCACTGCTCTCTGGTGAAGGGTAGGCCGCCTCTGCCTATTGAGATCCACTGTATCCCTAGGCGCCCCATCGTCTGCCACCCTCCATGGCCCCTCTACCCCGGTTCCTGGTCCCTGCGTCGGACTTCCTCCCAAAAATATCCGGACTGCCGGATGTACCGTATCCTCCTCATTCTGCTCCTCTTCTGTTTCCAGCGCATCTCCCTCGTAGTGCCCCACTCCAGCCTCCAGGACCACACGAACCTCCTCCATAGTATTTTGACGCTCTGTCTCTGCCATGCTCTGCGTCTCTCGGTATGCGAATACCTGCGACGCTGCCTCCTCGTCATGCTGCCCCTCTTCCTCTGCGATGATGTGCCCCTCAGCACCCGCCGTCTCCCATCCTTCTGTCTGTATCATTTTATTCCCATCCGAACCCTCCTCTCCATCTGGCTTCCTACGTGCGTCTACCTCAGCCTGCTTCTGCTCCTCGGCCTCTGCCATCTTCTGTGCCTCACCCTCCGCCTTCTGCCGCACCTCTACAACAGCCTTCTTCCGCGCTTCTGCCCGAGCCAGTTGTAGTGCCTCTTCCGCAGCCTGTTTCTGCTCCTCTGCCTCCGCCTTCTGCCGCGCCGCTGCTTCTGCCTTATTCCGCGCCTCTCCTTCCTTATGTGCGTCTGCCTCCTCCATATGCAGCACCGCTGCCTTATCCTTCTGGCTCGCCGTTGCCTCTGATTCCTTGTGCGCCCTCTGCCTCAACCATCTTCGGCGCCGCACCCTCCTCCTTCTGCTGCACCGCTGCCTCTCATTCCTTGTGCGCCTCTGCCTCAACCATCTTCGGCGCCGCACCCTCCTCCTTTTGCTGCACCGCTGCCTCTGATTCCTTCTGCGCCTCTGCCTCAACCATCTTCGGCGCCGCACCCTCCTCCTTCTGCTGCGCCGCTGCCTCTGATTCCTTGTGCGCCTCTGCCTCAACCATCTTTGGCGCCGCACCCTCCTCCTTCTGCTGCGTCGCTGCCTCTGATTCCTTCTGCGCCTCTGCCTCAACCATCCTGGGCGCCGCACCCTCATCCTTCTGTTGCGCTGCTGCCGCTGATTCCTTATGTGTGTCTGCCTCATCATTCTTCTGCGTCGCTGCCTCATCCTTCTGGCTCGCCGTTGCCTCTGATTCCTTCTGCGCCACTGCCTCCACCACCTGCAGCTCGACTGCCTCCGATGTCAGCTCTGCTGCTGCACCCGCTTCTTTACGCGCGACTGCCTCCGCACTCTTGACCGCCTCTGCATCCACCTTCTGCTGCGCCGCAGCCTCTGCTTCCTTTGGCGCCCCGTCCTCTGCCGTAAGTGCCGCCTCTGCATCGACGAACCGATGGGCCTCATCCTCTGCTTTCTGGTGCGCCTCTACCTCCGCCATCTTATGAGCCTTTGCACCCGCGTTGCTCTGCGCCTTCTTTTTCGCCTCTCCCGAATTCTCTGGCACGTCGACGCCCCCTCTCCGGGCCTCTTCAGCCGCCTTCCGCTTTACGCTGGGCAAGCGAACTTTCACGTATCCCCTATCCTCCTCGATATGCTGCCGCACATTGCTGGCGAGCTCCTCTCCTGCCACTGCCACGTGTGCCCTTGCAGCGGCTCGTGCCCCACGCTCCCATGCTTCACGTATGTCTCCTGTTCCCGGGAAAGAGATGATAGGATCGGTGTCGCCATCACGGCGCCGTTGCCTCTCTTCAGCCCGTCTCCTCTTGGCTTCTGCTTCGGCCATCCGCTTATCATCAGCCGCCTTGCTCCACTGCTCCTCTGCCTGTTCGACCTGACTTGGCAGCTGTGGATCTTCTACACCCTCCTCGCCTTCATCTGCTACACTTGCCAAGTCGGTCTCCGTCCGTGCTTCGCGTTCCGGCGGCCTCCTAACCCGATCAGCAAACCTGAGCTGCCTAACTCCAGACCTAACACGCTCGTCCGCACGGGCTGACCTTGACGTCGGGCCACTCAGTAGTGCACCCCCTGGTGCAGGTCGGCTAGAATATGAAATTTCCCCCACTCTTGGATTTGCGTCCCGATTTGCGGCAGGTACGTCTCTCTCTCCCTCTATCACTTCGGATCTGTTCTGTGCCGCCGGCTCCATGGTATTCCCGGACCGTTCCGGTGCGCTCTCCACCACTTGAGCCTCATGGGTCGTCATGACTGCATCCGGGGCGGGACTGAGCTGGACTCCTTGCAGGTCGAAGAAGGCCCTGCAGGTCGACTCTAGCATACTCCGAATTTCTTTCGCGCTATTTTTCCCCTTCCCTAAGGCAATCATCGGCTCTGCAGTTTGAATCGCCATGACATCCCCCCATTTGTCCAGCAACTTGCTGAACAGATGGGTAACGTGCAGCCCGGAACCCACTTGCCTCTGTCCCTGAACCTTGTTGATCTGCAACATGTGCGTGAAAAGGTGGTTGTCAGACACTCCCGTAACATTTTACAAGCTTAATATCATACAAAGCTTAAATCATAAAAATAGAGGCTCCTTACCCTGCCTTCCTCCAGAATCAGTTCCTCTAGGCGATCCCTCAAATCTTTCTGCACCGCTTCGGCGTGGCTGCCAGAGACCCTGCGACCTCGGCTGTATTCCACATCTAGTTGTCGAATAAGCCAGCTGCAGGGCAAGGGGGTCGCAAATAATCAATAACATGCGTCCATACAAACCGCATATCCGATTAAGGAGTGACACTTACTCGAACACCTCCTTGGCATGGTCGCTGTGGCGATGGGTTGGGATTGGAGATTTAGGGTCGAAGTGTAGCACACGCGTACGGTACTCTCCGCGGGGATGTGCTAACAAATCTTGCGGGTTCATCAGCACCATGAGACTGATCGCCGTCGAGTGAACAACAGGGACTCTGCAGTACATCGAAGTTTGGATTAGCAAGATAAGCTGGTGTCAACGACAGACGTTGTGGATCCATGTCAAGAAACTCACTCTGATATCATGGGTATCAAAACCATCTGGTAGTCCAACAGCGACCGATGTTCGCTGCCACAACTGGGGACACGCGGGACGGCAGACCTCAAACGCCGATGCTCGGTAGGAGCCAGAATCTTTATGTCCCTGCGAACGCGAGGATCCCCGATCTTGTCCTTGGCAACCTCCCTGCATCCAAGCCAACATGTCGCAGAGGTAAGAAGATAGCAGGTGCGTGTCTAAAAATACAAGGGTTTAACGTGCCGATGAAGTCGGCGTGTGTTACAAACCACGCTTGGATACATACACAAGGCCGAAAAGTAACAACGCCTCGTTCCACTCTTCCTGACGAGCGATTAACATTTCATAAGACTCCCACCCTAGTCGTACAGATAGTCCGCAGCCATCTTTGATTAACTGGGACGACATCGCGTAAGTAAGCCAGAAGATGGCAGGTAGCTATACGGTTACTACCATACACTGTCCGCATGCAGGATTTGAGGCCGACACTAGAATAAGAGGGAAGCTTGTGAGGAGGCTAGTTGTGGAACCAAGACTCAGATTGGAATGGCGAGAATGACCTTGAGCTTTGGTGCACCCACCGTGATAACAACTTCTGCTTCGCTGGTAGAATTGGTTATGCTCTCGTCCTCACAGAAGGTGGGAAAGGCTTTGCTACAAACGCCACGCGTAGTAAGACTTTTCTGCCCCCTACATCAAAATATTAGGCTTCTAACCATTTCCCTTCGAACATCTACGAACTACTCTTTGCATCCTTCTGCAGTGATTGGCCTATTTGTCGCCATATTGTTCTCCTAAATGTTCTACTTCTGTTGCTGGTTGGTTGATTGCCAACCTTATATGCCATGTAAGCATATTGCATGTTCTGCGGTGCATTGCATGGTCTCAGCTTTGCCTCGACCTAGTACGAAATGGTGACGGGCAGCCCCTAAAAAAAAAAAGAAAGGTGTCCTGTGACAGGTTCATGACAGGCTGCCTAGTATAACTATCCCATCCGCATGGTTCCCTCCGCAACGTGGAAATAGAGCAGTCTCTGCGACCTGCCACAAGTGTCAGAAACCGAATGCCTGTGTACATCCCACAGTACCGCTATAGGGGTACTCGCGTAGCACGTATAGTGCTAGTTTTTGTAACCCATAAAACATACACAAGCATGAACTTCGCATGATTAGCACACCCAATTCTAAAACGGATAATTCTATAAGTGTGAGATGAGTGCCCTATCAATAAGGGCTCATTAGCACACGTATAACAATGGCATTTAAATACAAAACAAATGTTGTACATTTCAACAAAGTGATCTGCTCCTGCCTACAGAGAAGAGCATGAAAAACATATTAAACCTCTACGAAATAAGGTGAATTTCATAAGGGAGTCTGGAATATGTGTGATGAGAGTCCCCTATGAAAATCAGATCATTTGCCCAAGGATAAGTGGGTGATTTCTGTTGCAAACTGATTCCAGGCAATTCTGCACAGAATTCTGCAGACTGCTGCACAACAAGGCTTAAAAACCATATCAAACCTTGGGTAAATGCGGTGCATTTCAGCGGGGAGTCTGGAATATGTGTGGTAAGAGTCCCCTATAAAACTCAGCTCATTTGCCCAAGGCGACGTGGGTGATTTCAATTGCAAACTAATTCAAGGCGATTCTGCACATAATTCTGCAGACTACTGCACAACAAGGCTTAAAAACCATATCAAACCTTGGGAAAATGAAACGAATTTCCGATGGAGGTCTGAAATATGTGTGGTGAGAGTCCCCTAAAAAAACCAGCTCATTTGCCCAAGGAAAAAAGGGTGATTTCGATTGCAACCTGATTCCAGGCAATTCTGCACAGAATTCTGCAGACTGCTGCACAACAAGGCTTTAAAACCAAATCAAACCTTGGGCAAATGCAATGAAGTTCACGTGGAGGTCTGGAATATGTGTGGTGAGAGTCCGTTATAAAGATCAGCTCATTTGACCAAGGAGAAGTGGGTTATTTCAATTGCAACCTGATTCCAGGCAATTCTGCACAGAATTCTGCAGACTGCTGACAACAAGGCTTAAAAACCATATCAAACCTTGGGAAAATGAGGTGAATTTCAGGTGGCGGTCTGGAATATGTGTGCTGAGAGTCCCCTATAAAACGCAGCTCTTTTGCCCAAGGAGAAGTGGGTGATTTCACTTGCAAACTGATTCCAGGCAATTCTGCACAGAATTCTGCAGACTGCTGCACAACAAGGCTTGACTTGAAAACCATATCAAACCTTAGGTAAATGAGGTGAATTTCAGCGGGGAGTCTGGAATATGTGTGGTAAGAGTCCCCTTTAACAATCAGCTCATTTTCCCAAGGAAAAATGGGTGATTTTAATTGCAACCTGATTCCAGGCAATTCTGCACAGAATTCTGCAGACTGCTGCACAACAAGGCTTTAAAACCATATCAAACCTTGGGTAAATGAGGTGAATTTCAGCGGGGAGTCTAGCATATGTTTGTTAAGAGTCCTTGATAAAACTCAGCTCATTTTACCAAGGCGACATGGGTGATTTTAATTGCAACCTGATTCCAGGCAATTCTGCACAGAATTCTGCAGACTGCTATACAACAAGGCTTTAAAACCATATCAAACCTTGGGTAACTGAGGTGAATTTCGGAGGGGAGTCTGGCATATGTTTGTTAGGAGTCCCTGATAAAACTCAGCTCATTGTACCAAGGCGAAGTGGGTGATTTCAATTGCAACCTGATTCCAGGCAATTCTGCACAGAATTCTTCAGATTGCTGCACAACAAGGCTTAAAAACCATATCAAACCTTGGGCAAATGAGGTGAAGTTCAGGTGGGGGTCTGGAATATGTGTGGTGAGAGTCCCCTATAAAGATCCGCTCATTTGCCCAAGGAGAAGTGGGTGATTTCAATTGCAACCTGATTCCAGGCAATTCTGCACAGAATTCTGCAGACTGCTGCACAACAAGGCTTTCAAACCATATCAAACCTTGGGCAAATGCAATGAAGTTCACGTGGAGGTCTGGAATATGTGTGGTGAGAGTCCGTTATAAAGATCCGCTCATTTGACCAAGGAGAAGTGGGTTATTTCAATTGCAACCTGATTCTAGGCAATTCTGCACAGAATTCTGCAGACTGCTGCACAACAAGGCTTAAAAACCATATCAAACCTTGGGAAAATGAGGTGAATTTCAGGTGGCGGTCTGGAATATGTGTGTTGAGAGTCCCCTATAAAACGCATCTCTTTTGCCCAAGAAGAAGTGGGTGATTTCACTTGCAAACTGATTCCAGGCAATTCTGCACAGAATTCTGCAGACTGCTGCACAACAAGGCTTGAAAACCATATCAAACCTTAGGTAAATGAGGTGAATTTCAGCGGGGAGTCTGGAATATGTGTGGTAAGAGTCCCTGATAAAACCCAGCTCATTTTACCAAGGCGAAGTGGGTGATTTCAATTGCAACCTGATTCCAGTCAATTCTGCACAGAATTCTGCAGACTGCTGCACAATGAGGCTTTAAAACCATATCAAACCTTGGGCAAATGCAATGAAGTTCAGGTGGGGGTCTGGAATATGTGTGGTGAGAGTCCCCTATAAAGATCTGCTCATTTGACCAAGGAGAAGAGGGTTATTTTAATTGCAACCTGATTTAAGGCAATTCTGCACAGAATTCTGCAGAGTGCTGCACAACAAGGCTTAAAAACCATATCAAACCTTGGGAAAATGAGGTGAATTTCAGGTGGCGGTCTGGAATATGTGTGTTGAGAGTCCCCTATAAAACGCAGCTCTTTTGCCCAAGGAGAAGTGGGTGATTTGACTTGCAAACTGATTCCAGGCAATTGTGCACAGAATTCTGCAGACTGCTGCACAACAAGGCTTGAAAACCATATCAAACCTTAGGTAAATGAGGTGAATTTCAGCGGGGAGTCTGGAATATGTGTGGTGAGAGTCCCCTTTAACAATCAGCTCATTTGCCTAAGGCAAAATGGGTGATTTCAATTGCAACCTGATTCCAGGCAAATCTGCACAGAATTCTGCAGACTTCTGCACAACAAGGCTTTCAAACCATATCAAAACTTGGGTAAATGAAGTGAATTTCAGCGGGGAGTCTGGCATATGTTTGTTAAGAGTCCCTGATAGAACTCAGCTCATTTTACCAAGGCGAAGTGGGTGATTTCAATTGCAACCTGATTCCAGGCAATTCTGCACAGAATTCTGCAGACTGCTGCACAACAAGGCTTTCAAACCATATCAAACCTTGGGTAACTGAGGTGAATTTCGGAGGGGAGTCTGGCATATG